ATCTTCCGGGCCCTGGCGGAAACCGCCGGGGCCCCGAGCCTCGGGCCACCAGAGGTCGGCCGCCAGCTTTGCCCAGAAAGGTTAGAGCCCCAGAGGGGGAAGCGAGAGAGGAGCAGGCAGAGGCAGGAGCAAGGACAAGAGGAAACGGGCCCCCGCATTCCTGGGGTCAGGGAGAGCCTAGCGTTTAGACCAAACAACTAATTTCAAAAAGCAGAAGCGTCGGGCCTGCTGATGCCACTGCCTCGTTCTTCACCTCCACGGCGGGAGTCTCCATGCCGAAACCGAGGCGAACGGAACCGAGGAGGAAAAGGAGGAGGAGGAGGAGGAGGAGGACGAGGAGGAGGAGGAGGAGGAGGAGGAGGAGGAACGGGCCAGGCCGCCCTGCCTCCCCACCCACGTGGAGAGGTGCAGACCCTGAGCCTCTCCATGGAGAACGCGCGGCGCCCCGCGGACCAGCCCGTCTCGGTCCCCTGCTGCGGCGCCCGGCGCTCCTCGCGGCCGCCGCCGTGGCCGCCGCTCCCTGTCGGCTTCACGTCAGAGTGATCCTTCGCCGGAGTGACCTCTGGTGCTGGCCCACAGGGGAGCCCCCAACACTGGCCTGAAGCGGATTACCCGCATGAGCTCGGCCCCCTCGCGGCCCCACAAAAGCCGCGCACCAAAGGTCGCTCTGGCTTAGGGCCACTCTTGCGTGTAGCCGACTCTGATTCCGGATCCGCGGTGCTTTGGCTGATTTCCCGGCTTGAATTTCCGATGCGAAGTTTGATCATTTTTCCTGGCTTCGGACATGCATTCGGAACGATGCGAACAAGTGGGGCGGAAACTTCCGCCTCGGAGAAGCAGGGCGGAAATTTCCACAAAAGTTTGGCATAAACAGCGACGGCAAAGTAGGGCGGAAACCAACATCAAAGCAGCGCGAAGAGTAGGGCGGAAATTGTCGCCATGACTGCAGAATCGCCCGAAGGACGGAGTATCCAGAGTCAGGGCCCTCCTCTAGTTACAGTGCTCAAGACCTGCTCCTCCCCTCCGCGGCCGCCCTGCCTCTCTTTTCCCCGCCTCTTGCAGTGCACGATTCGCTGTCCGGTGCCCCTGGGCCGCTTGACAGACCCGCGCGCTCGCTGGGCCCGAAACATGAGAAACGGTCAGAGCAACCGCTGTGCTCGGCGTGCGTGGGACAAACGTACAGCACCCTGGCCCCTTGTTCGGTGGCAGATCATGGGAGCCTGGTATACCCTGTTAATTCCGTTTTTGGCGTCGATTAGCGTCTGGAGTCGATGAGATAGCGCCGACTTAGCGTCGGGGAGCGTATATGTATGTATGTATGTACGTATGTATGTTTGTGGATATTTACACACATATATATAAACATATGCATTTATATATCTATATACAAGACTGCATTGTCGCTGCGCACCGCACCTTGGTCCTTTCAAGTTTCGCACGTTAGCAGAGTGCGTGCGTGCGTACATGCGCGCAAACACATTCGCCTATGGAAACATACTACATTTGTACATATAAATATGCGTATGTATGTGTATGTACATGTGTATGCAAATCGTCTGTGTAACTATGTGTGCGCATGCACATGCGCATCTCAGGCGGTAGTGGCCTGACCAGCTGTTCCGGGCATCTCGCAACTCAAAGGTGCGAGGGTCTCAGGCAAAAGTGGCCCAGACTACCATGGTCCTTCAAGTTGGGCAAGCAGGCGGGATGACATAGATGTGCATAATTAACGAAAGCGAAAACGCCTTGTTGCCGTTTTCGGGGCTGTCGATCTGACAATTTCTTCCATTCCGTATCCTTTCCTTCCCTCATCCTTCATTTCCCGCTCCTTCGCTGCCAAGCCGAGCCGAGCCGAGCTGAACCGGCGGGCCGGCCGAGCCGGCGGGCCGGCCGAGCAGGCGGGCCGGCCGAGACACGGGCGACGAGGACGACGACGACGACGACGACGACGTCCACGATGACGACGACGATGACGATGAAAACGACGATGAGTACGACGTCGGCTACGACGCTGACGACGACGACGACGACGACGACGACGACGACGACGACGACGACGACGACGACGACGACGACGACGACGACGACGACGACGACGAAAGCGACGACAACGACGACGACGACGATGACGAAGACGACGACGACGAAGGCGACGACATATGAAAGGTATAATGAGAGGGGGAGACCGCTGCCATCGCGAGCGTTGCCGCAATCGCGTTGCCGGGCCTCGTGGGAGTCTTCTTGGGGCCCTTTTGGATCCCTTTCAGGGCCCTGTTGGGGTTCTCTTGGGCCTGTCTCGGGGCCCTTTTGGGCCGTCTTGGGGCGTCTTGGAGGCCTTTGGCCGTCGTGGGGCTCTCCTGGAGGCGTCTTGGGACCCTCTTGGGTACCTCTTTTTGGCCCGTCTTGGGGCTCTCTTGGGCCCGTCTTGGGGCCCTCTTGGGCTGTCTTGGGACTCTCTTGGGTCGTTTTCGGGCTCTTTGGGGGGCCTCTTGGGCTATCTTGGGGCGATCTTTGGAGCCTTTCGGGCCGGTTCGGGCTGATGTTGGCCCGAAGAAGGGAGGGCCAGGACAACCTTTGAACGCCATGCAAAAATGAATGGCATTTCCCTCTTGGGGCCCCTTTGGGAAGCCTCTTGGAGGCCTCTTGGGGCGTCTCGGGGCCCCCTTGGACGGTCTTGGGCGGTCTTGGGGTCTCTTGGAGCGCTCTTGGGCTGTCTTGGAGCGCTCGTGGACCCCTCTCGGGAGTACCTCGGGCCGTCTGGGGCGCCTCTGGGACCGCCCGAAAATTTCGGGGAAACCCGAAACTCGTTTTCATTTGGGGTGGGCGGGCTCCGTCCGGGGTCGGTTCGGGTTCCCTGGCCTTATAGAAGTATACCAATAGGAATATATCTTGGGGGGGGTGCGTGCACATAACTATCTTTGGGGGTTCGTGATAAATCGACGTGCTTTAACCGATGTTCGTCCGCAACTCTCTCTCTCTCTCTCTCTTGTTTGTTCTCTCTCTCTCTCTCTATCTCCCTCTCTCTCTTTTTTTTTTTTTTTTTTTTTTTTTTTTTTTTTTTTTTTTTTTTTTTTTTTTTTTTTTTTTTTTTTTTTTTCTCTCTCTCTCTTTTTTTTTTTTTTTTTTTTTTTTTTTTTTTTTTTTCTCTCTCTCTCTCTCTCTATCTTTCTCTTTCTTTCTCTCTCTTTATCTCTCTTTCTTTTTTTTGTTTCTCTCTCTCTCTCTCGCCCCCTCTCTCTTTATATATATATATATATATATAATTTCTCTCTCTCTCTCTCTCTTTTTTTTCTCTCTCTCTCTCTCTCTTTCAAGTCTGCTGCTTCGGGTGGCGGATGCATGCCCCGCGGGCGCATCTGGGCCGCGGCTGGCCCTCCCCCGCGCTGAGTGCACTTCTGGCGGCCGCCGCGGGCGGCTCCTGGAGGGCGGAGCTGCGGGGGGTCAGGGCGCCCGATTCGCGCCGGCCGTGGCGCCCCCTCCGCCTGGGCCGATCTGCCAGGCTCGACGGGAGGGGGGCCGCTCAGATTGCCTCGGGGTGGCGACCTGCCCGCGCCGCCCGGACTGCCCGGCGCTGGAAGGATGCGGGCGGAGCCTGCTGGTGCAGGTGACCTCCCACCGGCTGGCTATCGGGGTGCAGTATCGTGGCGTCGTTTTCGGCCATGGGCGCTGGTTGTTGCACCCGTGCACTGGGGATCAGGACGTCTGGTGGGTCGCTGCCACCTACTTCGATGAGTGCCCAGAGGCTTCGGTCGTGGGCCCCGTCGCTGATATCATCCAGGCCTGCCCGCTGCCTGATGACGAGGCGGTGCCCGACTGGCTCGCAAGGAAGTGGTACCGAATCCATGTCTATCTCAACCGTAGCGAGCTGGCGAACATGATCAAGCGCGGCTACCGCGCGGCCGTGAAGTGCGACGCTGACGGCACCCTCCCCGTGCTGATGGACGTGCTGTTGCTGACGGGCGACGAGATCGCGATCGGCGAGCTGATCCCAGTCTGGGCTGGGCCAGCGCGCAGGGTGCGGGGCAGGCAGAGTGAGGCTGCTGGCGCCAGCGGCGCGGGCCCCCCGTCGCGGCCGCCGGCCGAGGGGCCGCCCGCCGCGCGGGCCGACTCTGCAGAGCTGCCCCCCAGCCTCCGCTGGCGCGCGAGGGGCTACAGCGATGTGCTCCCGCCTGGCGACGAGGCCGCCTTGGGCGGGCCGACCTTCGTGCGAACGGGGTCCATTGACGTGCCGATGCTAGACGGGTCCAACTGCGTGCGCCGCTGGGCGGGGAGGCCGGAGTCCGTGGTTGACGTCGTCGCCGAGGAACGTCTCCGCCGGCGGCCCTGCGAGGGCCCTGTAGCGGACATCTGCGCGCGCGGGGTCGACCTTGACAGCCGGGGGGAGAGGTCCAGGTCGTGGCGGGGCAGGGCTCGAGAAAGCACTCAAGAGATGTTCCCCGGCTCTCACCTGGAGGGGCCAGGCGCGGCGCTCTTCCTGGCCAAGCAGCTTGATCGGCGCGGAGGCGATCCTCGGCGCGGTGTCTGAGGAGAAAGAAGATAGAAGGTTCAGATTGGGCATGTGACGAGATGAAGGTGCTGGGCGACGCCCTCTGCTTCTCGGGCGCGCGCGACCAGCTGAGCGTCGGCGCCCTCGCCTCGCTGGAGACACTCGCGCGGCGCATCCACATCATCGTCGACGCGTATCAGGACTTGCGGGGGATCACCTGGGAACACTCGAGGCTGTGCATGGGCGAAAGGCGCGGCGGCGGAGGGCGCGAGGGCGGCGGCCGAGGCGGGCGCGGGCTCGCGCCTGGCGCCGCCTATCCGCTACGAGCAGCAGCGCCGCCGAGGGGATTGGCCCCGCCCTAGGCGGGCAAATCTGCGGCCCTGGGGGCACTTCCCCAGGTGGCCGACTGACGAGGGAATTATTCCTTCTTCCTGCTCCAGTGGCGCCGGCTGGCCCAGCCACTTCGAGTCGTTCGGCAAAGAAGGCGCGGGGTCGAGCTAAGCGGCGCGCATAGATGGTGCAGGAGGCGGTCCACGGACTGAACTGGCTTGCCGGCTACGACACCTGGGACTCGGGTCAGGAGTCGGCGGCGCCAGGTATTTTGACCCCCGAGGTGTTGCCCCGTGTGGAAGGCTTAGTCAAGGACTGGGAGCCCATGCCAGAGGCCCTCTCGGGGCGGGAGGCCCTGCGGGACCTCTTGCGCGGCCGGTCCCAGTGCGAGCTGGAGACCGGCTCCGCGAACCTCGCGGCCTCCGACGCCGACCTCGTGTCCTTGCCCGACGACGTCTCGGGGTCTCCCCCGATCGAATCGCTGCTGGATGCCGAGGTCTCTCGATATTTGGAGGCCTATCATGAGCTGATGCTGCGGCCCCTGACTGAGAGAGAGGATATCGAGTCTGAAACAAGAGAGATCACACCTTGCACTGACAGGAAGCTGCTGTGCAACAAGAAGGTGTACCACGCCTTCGTGAAGAAGCTCTGGGGCCTCGGCATGCTTGGCGCTGCGCTCGAGCCGCGGGGGAGAGTCGGGGCCTACTTCGTTTGGAAGAGGAACAGGACGCGCCTCGGGCTGATCATAGACGCTCGGAGGAGCAACTGCTGATTCCGCGCCCCGCCAGGCGTCTGGCTGTGCACCTCGGAGGCCTTCGCAAGCATCGAGATCGGGGGCGGCGACCTGGCGAGCCTGGAGGCCCTCAGGCTGCACCTGGGCATGGCGGACGCGAAGGACTGCTTCCACCGGCTCAAGGCCCCCGCCTGGCTCAGGCCCTGGGCGGCGTGCCGCTCGGGCCCGCCGACGCGGCGTGGCCCGCGTCGGCCTCCGTGTGCACGGGGTTCGCTTGGTCGCTGTTCTTCGCCCATGAGGCCGACGAGCGGCTAGCGGCTGCCGCGCCCGGCCCGCGCGGGTCTGAGCTCCTGCGCGACCGGTCACCTCCCCTGGTGCTCTCCGAGGGCCGCCCCCGGCACTGCGTGTGCGTGGACAGCCTGGGGGCCTTCGCCCGTGACCAGAGCGTGGCCGGGCGCGCGGTCTGGGAGTTGGGGGCGGACTTCGAGAGCCACGGGCTGGAGCTGCACGGGGGCGAGGTGCTGAGCCAGGACATTCGCGGACTCGGCTGCCGGCTTGATGGCCATCGGCTGCGGGCGGCCACCGCTCCTGAGCGATTCTGGAAGGTCTGGGCTGCGAGCGAGGAAATATTTCGCCGAGGCAAGTTTTAAGGTAGGGTCCTCGAATGCTGGCTCGGCCATGCTACCTTGAGTCTCATCCAGAGAGGCTTCCTGTCCGTCTTTCACACTTGTTACCAACTCTGTCGCACTCACTACACCGAGGACGAGGCTCTCTGGCCTTCGGTTCGCGACGAGATCCAAGCCTGGAGGGGGCTGATGATCTTCCTGGTCCAGGATGGGGGGCGACGTTGGAGTGAGTTAGTGACCGAGAGCGACGCGAGTGAGCAGGGGTACAGAGTGTGCGCGTCCTTTTGGAGTCGCGCGCAGGTGTCGTCGGTTGGCCGCGTTTGGGAGAGGAGCAGATTTCGGCTCACGGGCCACAGCGCCCGCGAGTCTGCCCTCGGCGCGGCAGGTCTGGTCCTTGGACCTTGGTCCGGCGTCTGGGAAATTGCGGGGGGCGAGACCGCCGAATTTTCTGTGGCGCCCGATTTTCCCGAGGTTCCAGCAGGTCTTCTTGATAAAAGCCTGTGGGCCCTTCGTGTCTGGGGCAAGTGGAGTTTTCCCCGGGGACATCCTGATTCTCGAGGCTCGAGCTTAGGTCCGTCGTTTCGCTCTGAATACCCCCCGGTGTCACTGTAGGGCTCTCATGCTAAGCGACAACATGAGTATTGTTTTGGCTTTCGCCAGGTCCCGCTCACGCGAATTATGTCTCCCCATTCATATCCGTCGGGCCAGGGCTTACAGCCTGTTACGTAATGTAGCTTTCTATTATAGGTGGATCCTGGTTGAATTGAATTCGGCGGGCGAGCCCTCGCGTCGACGCGACTCCGATTTTCGGAAGAAGCCGGTTGCGTGCTGGCCTCACTTCGCTCCTCCGTGTCCTGCCCGGCTTAAGCCTGACCTCCTGGGTGCTCCCCCTTCAGGCCGTTCGCCGTGCTCTTTCCTTGATTCGGCTGACGTCTCCCGATGGTCCAGGTCAGAAGCCTCGGCGAGGGTTGGGCCCTCCCCTGCGCATTGGAGCTGGGAGCGCGGCCCGCGAGACGACTGTGCTAGAGCGGACCGCGAGGGCGCTGGCCCGCGCGAGCGGCGCGGCGACTCGGCCGCGGTCCGCGAGTCAGGACGGGCTGGATTGCGCCCCAGCAGCGGTGCAGACGCCGCGGGGGCCGGGCAGCGCCAGCTCGAGCTCCTCGTCCGAGCCCAAGCCCGACGCCGTCGGCGGAAGGGCGCCGGGGCTGGCGAGGAGTTCGCGGCGGCGACTGACCGAGTACCTGGAGGTGGCGCTGGGCTTCGTGAGGGGGGGGGGCTCATCCTGCTGGAGGCCGAGGCGGTGACGGACAACGTGCGAGCCACCTCCTGGACTTCGGGCAATTCGCCAGGGAGCTCGACCCAACGCTCGCTGGCGACCGCGATGTGGGCGGCTGGCCCGTGAAGTTCTGCGTCGCGAGCTCCCTCGGTGGACGTCGGCCGGACTGCGGGGGGAGGGTGCCGGCAGCTTCTGCGAACCGCCACCCGGTCTCCAGCAAGGCCGGGAAGCGGAGGGCGCCACGGGCCTTGCGCTGCCTGCGCGGGTGGCGCCGCCTGGCGCCTGGCCGCTCTGCGCGGCCCCGGCCTCGGGAGGTGCGGAGGGCGGTTGCCGCCCAACTCCTTCTGCGGGGCCGCGGGCCGCTGGCCGCGGCGGCCTCGCCGGGCGTGGGGGCCCACCTGCGGCCGCGCAAGTTGAGGGCGGCACAGCCCGGGGACCTTGTCCCCCCAGCGCGGGACGTGTCTAGGCGCCGGCCGCCGATCGTCGGTCCTCAGACGAGAAGCATCACTTCCAAGACAGGGGCTGTGGTCGAAAGCGTGGTGCTGGACTGCGAGTGGCAACAGGGGCCGACGCCTCTCTCTGGTCGGCGTTGACGGAGGCCCCTGGCGGAGGGCCGAGCTGGACCTTCGCGTGCCCAGAGCTAGCAAGGCAGTCCAGAGAGACACGCAGCCGGCTCAGTGCCCCCGCGGCGCCCAGCATGGGGAGGCGCAGCGGCCCCAGCGTCAACGGCGCCCTTCAGTTCCGGCCGCTCGACGAAGTGCGCAAGAGGGGGCGCCGGGCAAGCCGCGAGTCGGTCGTGCGAGAAGGCGACGCGGCTGAGCAGGGCGGTGCGCGACCTCCCGAGGGGCAGCCAGAGGCGGCGCGAAGAGCTCGCCACGCGCCTCGAGGAGCTGCTGCTGCAGGGCGCAGACCGCGCTGCCACGGGGCGCCGCTGAAGGGCCAGTATCAGGGGAATTTTTTGGCTGGCGAAGGCGGCGTCGCCCGCGCCAGCCGCCGCCTGGGCGTTCCCGCGCGTGCCTGGGAAGTCCGTGGCGGCCCCCCTGGCGATCTGACGCGCCCGCCCGTGCTCCGGCGCGCGCGGCAGGGTGCCAGCGCAGGCGAGCTCCTGGCCGCGATGTTCGCGCCTCCCTGTCAAACTTTGTCTGCGGCGAGAGATCGTGCTGCAGGGATTGGGGCCCGTGAGTTCCCATGGGGAGTGCCCTGGTGTGTCGCTCGTGATGCGATGGGGCTGGTAGTAGGAAATGCCTGCCTCACCTCATACCTCAACCTTATAAAATACTTGCACGCTAGAAAAATACTTGGGATTCTCGATAGAACCCAAACTCGTCTAAGATGTGGTTAGTTCCGCAGGTGCACGCCCTAACTTTCTTGGCATGTGTCGAAGTGTGCGACTTCTGCCAGTTCGGGGCCCCTTGGAAAAAAGTGCGCCCGATCTATATGTGGATGGATCCCAAAGGCTGACCTGCTCGGCCTTCTACGCGTTTGTGCAGGCAAACGCGGCTTCTGCAGCGCAACCAAGTGTAAGCGTCGCCATCTAGAGGGGTCCGCGATGACACGCAGAGCCCAGCCTTACCCGAAAGAGCTGTGCCAGTCGTTAGTCCGTTCCTTGTTGCATAAGGTTTGGAATGCTCAGATTAATTGTTCCGACCTTGCTCTCGCGACCCGCCATCCCTCGGCATGGCCTGCCCAAACATCCTTCCTTAATTTGAGAACTTCCCTTCTTCGGGGCGTTTTCGGGACTTTTTAAGGCTTGGTCCAGGGTGCCGGCCCAGTCCCGTTGGCGGCCAGGTCGCTGCCGCTCAGACGCGCGCGGCTTCTACGAGATGTATCTTATCCGCAGAAAAAAGGAAGCCCCTGTGATGGAGGGGTGCGCGCGCATGGCTATCTTTGGGGGTTCGTGACAAATCGACGCGCTTTAAACGAGGTTTGTCCGCGACAATCTCTCTCTCTCTCTCTCTCTTTTTTTTTTTTTTTTTTTTTTTTTTTTTTTTTTTTTTTTTTTTTTTTTTTTTTTTTTCTCTCTCTCTCTCTCTCTCTCTCTCTCTCAAGTTTGCTGCTTTGGCCCGCCCGCCCACTCCAAGACTTTATAAGGCTCGGTCTAGGGTGCCGGCCCATCCCCGGCGGCGGCCGGGTCGCTGCCGCCAAGACGCGCGTGGCTTCTACGAGGCGTATCTTATCCGCAGAAGAAGGAGGCCCCTGTGATATATGGTTATCTAGGCTCTCCCTGTCCGCGAGGCGAGACCCGCGAGGCCGGGAGGGCCGAGGCGGCAACCTTGCGAAAGAAAAAGAGGCGTCGATTCATTGGCTTGCGCCGCGCCGCCGAACCCTTGGGGCGGCAGCAATAGTGAAAGACGGAGTTCGCGGAACGCGCGCGATCGCTTGGCAATTTTAGGGCTTCGGCCTGTCCTGCGTGGCGTGTGGGGTTCAAGGGGGGGCTTTGTAGGGGATTGTTTTGAAGTTTTTTCGTGGTCTTATGTGGATTTCTTGGGGCCTTCACGGGGCCTGTCCCGGCCCCCCCCCCCCCCCGCCTGGATGGGCTCGGGGATCGTTGAGACCCAGCTGGGGGTGCGTCTGGCCAGAAGTTCGAGAGTGGACCCAGCTGCGTCGACGAGGAGCTTCCTGAAGGCCCAGAAGGGGGCGGAGAGCGCCCAAAAACTAGGAGTTTCATGCCTCGAGCCTCGATCCATCCCGTGTTCCTTCCTTTGCGAAGGGGTGGCGCCGGCCAGGGATGTCGATCTTCATCGCCGACCTTCGGCGGTGGTCCCGGGCCGCACCGAAAACGTTTCTTGGAGGTTGAATTTGGGGAGATGCCTCGGGTGGTCGAAAGGCCACATATGTCAGACATCGGCGGCGACGAAGAAATATTCTTTATTTGTTTCTTCTTCTTCCTCCTCTTCCTCCTCCTCGTCCTTCTCCTTTTCTTCTTCTCGATCAAGGTAGATGCCCGCGGCAGCTCCGGTCGCTGTCCATGGATTTTTTGTTTGAACAGTTCATGTGTTTGATAGGTTTCGGTCTCCGGGGGGTCCGCTGCGAGGCCCCAAGACTTTCAAAACCGGATGGACTTGGGGCGAGAAATTGCATCGGCGGGCCCGGGGAGAGGTTCGGGGAACGAATTTGTGCGGAATCGCCCGTCGGGCTCGGGATGTTTGTTGTGGTTCGGGGGGTTCCGGGCCCCTCCCTTGTCGCCGCGGGCTTGGATGCATTTGGGAAAACGATGGCGACTGGTTTCCGGGAAGGGTCCGGGGCCCGTGGCGAACGATTTCTGCGTGGGGAGAAAAGAAGGATTTGGTTGTAGAGTCTTAGTATTTTCAGTTTTTTCGTGGTTTTCGTCGTCGAAGGGCCGCCTCCGGGTCCAGGGGTCGGACGGGGGCACTGTGGATCCCCGTCGAAGCCCCTTTGGATGCATTTCGGCGCCCTGTCATGTTTTCTCGGGGCGAAGTGCTCGAATTCTCCTTTCGGGTTTCCCTTCGGACCCTTTTCGTGGGGCCGTCCTGGGGCTCTCCCTGGTGGCTTCGTTGGCCCTGTTGGGGCCCGTTTGTACCTTCTGGGGGCCTTCTTGGGGGCGCGCGGGGGCTTTCGGGTTGATTCGGGGGGCGTTTCGGGCTGCTGTGAGCCGCCCGACAGGCCA